GAACACCAGCAGGGGCCCCTCCGCCCGAGACGGCCCCTTCAGCTCTGAGACTCTGCCGCCAAACCACGTCGACTGGTGATCTGCCTGCGCCACAGGCAAACCAGGAGTAGTCGTGCTTAGCGATCCAGTCCTGCGCGAAGGGCAAGCGCAGCTTGCCTGTGAGTCTGTACATCATGGGAAAGATACCGATGGGCCTGTAGCCGCCAGTGACTTTGCGGAGAAGCGCCACGAGGACCCACTGGAGCTGTCCTGGAAGTTCCCCAAGAACCTCGGATATGTAGATGAGTCTGGCGAAGGCCTCGAGGGCCTCATCGGATAACATACTGAGGTGCCTCATGTGGAACCCGTCGAGGGAAACGGCTGATGACTTAGAGTAACTCTTAGAGAGGTCCCTGAGGGCTTCCACTGAGGGGATCCCGATGGGCTCATGGAGGTCGTTGTCCCTGTGGAGAGGCTCAACAGCGGGCTCCCAAAAGTTCCCGAACTTGGCCTTGTAGGTATCCAGAGTGCTCTGTATGGAGGCCGTGAGCTTACCCTCGATGACCACCGTGTCGGGCTCCCATTTGGTGCGCTCCTTAATGAACTTGTGTGCGGCCTTGGCCCCCTTGTCGAGGGCCTTGTCTACCCACTCCTTCCAAGAGCTGGCGTTGGCTGACCGCACATCTGAGAGGACCTTCTTAGCGTATGCGTCAGCCCTGGCCTTGAAAGTGAGCAACTGCGCGACGGTGGCGGCTATCTTGCCGCAACAAAAAGCTTCGGCCTCTACATCTGCGTGCAGGGGCTTGAGATACTGCTGTATATCTTTGAGGAGTGTGCGCGTGCACTCGTGCTGCATCACATGCTGCGGCTTGGCACGCACCACACGGGAAATTAGATCGAATACTGCCGGCCTAGATTCTCTGCCAATCACCTTCCCCACATTCCATTCCTCCTCCTCCTCCAAGTAACAGGCGAGGCGGTGCATGCGAGTGGCAATCCAGCTCGGCGCAGCGGGAAGGAGGCCGTACTGGTTGTGAGATTTCTCGTTCTTGGTGACTGCTCGGAGTACTGGCTGGGGGGCTCTTGCTCTCAAGCCTGACGACTTGCGAATCTTGCTGGCCGTCCGCTGCGCTAGCTCGAGCTCGGCGGCGTTGGCCCAGTGCGCGTAGGCCGAGGTGAAGCCTTCGCGCAACACTGCCTTGGGACGGTTACCTATAGCAGAGATAAGACTACCTACGTGATCTGAAACTTTATTCCAAGAAACGGTGCTGGGATGCACAATATCCCCATCCTCTTCATCCTTGTCGAATGAGGAGGGGAGGGCGGGGATGGCGGGGAATTGAAGGACCTTGACCTCTCCAAATTCTGGTGGCAGATCCAGCACAACTGGGAAGTGTGGCCTAGCATCCCAGTCGAAATCGACGTCTATGTCTCGCACAGCGATCGCAAGCTGCTGCTCGACGATGAACATATCTATGACTGAACAACTGGCTGTGCATGTGCCCATCGAGCAAACCGGCGCGAAGAGCTGACCCTTTATATAATTGCAGAACTCCGAATGCTCAAGCTGGTCCTGAGTAATATTGAAGTCTCCTGCTATGATGTACTGCAGCCCCGAGACCTTGATCAGATCGGCGATAGCCTCGAGGATGGTGACATTGTCTGGCGAGAGGCCTTGACTCACGTGCCCATACAAAGATAGACAGAGGATGCCCGAGGTCTGGGGGAACTCCACAACAACTCCAATGACTCGGTGTGGCACCAAAATACCTCCAGGGGGCCCCACGGGTTCCTCCAGAGTGTAACACCCAAGATCGTCGGCAACGAAGATAGCGACCCCAGCTGACGAACCTACTTCCCCTAAACCGTTCGCTGAGGGGGCAAAAGAGGTAGTGGCAACCGACGGGGCCCAAAAACTCTTCCAGCCGTGCCTTATGGCCCAGTCTGAGGCCTCGGCTACGCTTAAATCGGACACGAGGTGCACCTCCTGAGCAAACAAAACTTTGGTGGGTCCCCACGCAAGCTCAAGGAGGCGCTTCTTGAGGGAGCCCCAAGAAGACCCATTAAAAGACTCGAAACGGGTGCTGTCAGGAGAAGAGGAGTGGAGGGAAGTGGGGGAGGCCTTCCCAGCACTGGCAGATGCTGGTATGGCCGCAGGCGAAGCTGGCTGGCAGTCAGCTTCAGTCGGGGAGGCACCGCATGTCGCCGTTGCACAGCGCTCAGTCGATGCTGTCCTCGAACTCGGAGTGGAGCCGTCACCCATACGGGCGGTGGCCGCGTCCGCTGCCAGTTCCCTTGCTCGACGGGCCGACCAGCTGGCGCGCGGCTGCGGCCTGCTGGTCCTGGTACGTCGCACGGGCCTTCTGCAGGGCTTCGAGCTCCTTCTTGGGCAGGTGCTTGGCAAGGGATTCCATCTCGGCTTTGAAGAATTCGGAATCAAACATCGGGGTATCCGTAATCGATGAAGATGGCTGGGGCGGCGGTGTTGCCTTCTCAGGCAGGGCCCCCACCATGCTGGACATGTCGTTGATAAATTTGAGGATGTCTGCATTGCCTGCAAACTTGGTCTTGGCCTCCGCGATCTTGGCCTTGGATGTCTTGGTGAACTCCGCGAGCGAGCCAGGTCCTTCATCGGGGGCAGTGTCTGCCCAGACTGACTTGGCGTCCTGCTCCTCGCGCTGCTGGTCCTCCTGGGCCTGCTCGAGTCGCTTCTTCTGCTCTTCCATGGACTGGTTGGTAGCGTCGAGCTGCAACTGCAGCTCTTGCTTGGTCTTCTCCAGCTCTGAAATCTGGTGCTTGATCTTCTCAACCTTCTCGGCCGCGCGCTGCGCGCGCGTGTGGCAGCGCGCCATGCGCTGCGCAGGCGGCAGGCTGGCTGCCTGCGCCGCGCGCGCGTCCACCAGGTCCGCTCGGGCCTGCTGCAGCTTGGCGGCCACATCGGGCATGACGGTGGCGTCCATCTGCTGGTAGGTGCTGACGAGAAGTTCGAGCTGCTCGATCTTCTTGTCTTTGTCGTTGGTGGCGGGCGCCTCTGGTGGGGGCGCTGCCGTGTCCTTGCCCTTGCCTGTGCCACGCGAACCTTTCCCGTGGCCAGGCGCTGCGCCCGCGGCAGGATTGCTTGCTGCTGGCGACTGGGCTGAGGTGGCGGCCGCTGCGATGGCGGTGACCTGCTTGGCGATGGCATCCAGCTGCTGCTTCGAGAGCCCTGCGGCGCCGCCTGCGCCGCCCGCGCCCATGCCGCCGCCTGCGCTCTTGCCACCGCCCCTGCGGCGACGGGCTCCACGTTGAGGCTGATCACCCTTGTTATAGTAGAGCCCGCAAAGATGACACCACTGCTTGCCGCTAGCAATAGGAGTCCAAGAGCGTGGGCCACACTTCTCGCACTGAACCCACGCTGCTGGCCCTGTGGCCTTCGCCATGGCGGAGGACGGGCCGTTCTGTCAAACTGCTTCTGAGAGAGAATGTTGCGTACCGAGTGTGGCACCGCCAGGTGCACACAAGCAGAAAGAGATGCTCGCAGGCTGACCCCTGAGACGCGGGCCGGGCCAGTCCTGGAGCGCGCTGTTGGCCCTGCGCCACCTCGAGAGATGGCAACTTGAGCCAAAATGGCTACGGACGAGGAGGACGGAGGAGAGAACCGACGAGAGGAAGGAGGACGAGGAGGATGACAATGATGGAGGATGTAGAGAGGAGAGGGGTGGAGAGAGAGAGAGAGAGAGAATGAGAGAGATAGAGAGAGAGGCAGAGAAAGAGAGAAAGAGAGAGAGAGAGAGAGAAAGAGAGAACGAGAGAAAGAGAAATAGAGAAGAGCGAGAGAGCGAGAGGGCGAGAGAAAGACATGTATACGTAAATGTACACACATATATATATATATATATATATATATATATATTGAGAGAGACAGAGAGAGAGAGTGAGAGAGCGAGAGAGAGAGAGAGAGAAAGACAGAGGGAGAGGCAGAGTGTCACACACGTCTATATACATATATAGATGTACACATTGTATTGTGTAGATAGAGAAAGGGAGGAAGCGAGAGAGAGAGAGGGATAGAGAAGCAGAAAGGGAAAGAGTGAAAGAGACAGCAAGAGAGAGGGAGAGCGAGAGAGAGAGAGAGAGAGCGAGAGAGATTGGGGAAGGAGAGACAGGAATAAGGGAGTGCAAGGATGAGAAAGAGGCGTGGAAGGGGGGAGGGAACCGCGCAGTGAGATAAGATGAGAGAGGGGAAACGACGATGAAGGACACAACAATGTTGAGGAGCAGCATCAACTAATAGGAGTACTGGCATTAGCACACTTGTGAGGGAGGCGCCTTAGAGGAGAACACAGGTGGACGCCAGGGAACAAAAATCAGGTGACTAAACATACGTGGGCACTGAGGGGAAGGAGAAGGAGGAGGAGGAGGCGGATGAGGGGGCATAAGGAAGAGCCTGCATACGACACGAAGAAGGCTTGAGGGCGAAGTCTAATAACAATACGAAGCTACGATAGATAAACTCTAGCACTCCCGATGTGCAAGCTATGTGGTACACGCCACAGGGCACCGCTCACAGTGTACCACCAAGGCCCCACACACAGCACAGGGAACCGCCGACACGAACCACAGGAAACGAATTAAAGGGCACGAACCATAGGGCACGCGACACGAGGCACGAGCCACGAGGCACAATCCACAAGGCACCAGCTATGCCGCACCCACCACGCATAGAGCACCAGCCGTGGGCCACCAAAATCTACAAACCTTGGGGAACCAATTATTGGGCACCGGCCAGGGGGGCACCAATTGCAGGGCACCAGCCTTGGGCCACCAGCCAGAGGGGCACCAGCGTGACGGCAGACTGCTACATTCAGGGCCAGCTCCTTTCAACACCAATAGGATCCGCTGATTGTAAGCACTAGTTTGGGAAAATGCCGAGGACGTTGGAGTTATCAGGGGAACATTCCTGGGGAAGCATTTTAGGAGGCACCGCAGTGCCCAGCCAAGCACGGCGCACAATGAAGGATGAAGAGCTGAAGCGCCAGCGCCTTGGTGAACAAGACGAAGAGGTCCGCCCGCTTGACAGCGGCGGTGATCATCACCGCTGTCCTTAGCCATCACTTCACTGGGCACTGCCGCTCCCACATGCGAGCTGCAATTGTTAGACCCACGTCACGCCTGGCCGGATGCACACCGCCCAGGGGCTGGCCAATACGCCGCACCGTGTCGCCCACGCCGCGTGCGGCCAAAGCAAAACGTACGCACCCATATCCCCCAAACAGTGAATGCATTTAGGGGTTCTTGCTCGGGTGCCGAAGGAATTGGACGGGTCTCACGAAGATACGTTCCAGCTTGTGGCCGCCCCACTGCCGCCCGTTGCCGCCTGTTGGAGTGTCTGGGGGCTTCGCCACGTGGCCCATTGCTGGCCGTGGCCGCCTACTGGGGTGCCTTGAGGATTCGCCCCGCTCCAGCCAGATGCCACCCGTTGCCGCCTGTAGGGTGTCCAAAATATTCGCCGCATTTCGCCCTGTTGCTGGCCGTTGCAGCCTGCGGGGGTGTCCCGAGGATTCGCATTGTTCTGGGCCGTTGCCGCCCGCAGCCGGCCGTTGTCGCCTGCGGAGGTGTCTCGAGGATGCATACGTACTCTCCGCAAAACGGCCGCAGAGACGCTTGTGCATCACATAGCGTGCACATCCACACGGTCGTGACTTTCTGTTTTGGGCCTGCGCTGGTAAGCATCTAGTTCTACGTACAAAGAGAGAGATCCACCTATCTTTTATCTATACATATACGTATGTATGCACACCAGTGTACACAGTCATGCATGCATGTATGAGGTGACGCACGTGCACGCGGGAATGTGAACATGTGAGACGTCGGCGGCGATCGGAGGGGCGCAGGCGGGGAACACGAGGGACTCCGACCAGCGCGCCCTGGCAAATTCATAGCGAGACCGCCGCACCTGCCCCCAAGACGCCGACCACGGCGTCTCCATCGAGGCGGAGACTGGCCCGTGGTCCGGCGAGCGCGCACGTACGCGAGCGCGTGACGCACGCGCGCGCTCGCCTCGAGGCGCCGCCCTCCGGAGGTTCAGAACGGAGAAAAAGCGGCCGTCTCGATCTGCGAGTGGGCAAATTCTACACCACCGCTGCCCTATGTGGGACGGTGGGGAAGGGAGGATGCGGAGGTCCTCCTGCTCCTCCTCCGCCTGATCCACCACCACTACCATATGTAGGACGGGGGGGGAGGGAGGATGAGGTCCTCCTGCTCCTGCTCCTCCTCCTCCCCCGCCCCCTCCTCCTCCTCCTCCTCCTCCTCCTCCTCCTCCTCCTCCTCCTCCTCCTCCTCCTTCTCCTCCTCCTCCTCCCCCTCTTCCTCCTCCTCCCTCCGCCTCATGGTGGTAGTGGTGGTGGAAATGGGCCCGTCATCTTTGTCGCACCGCCAGAAGTCCTCCCTGCCTTCCCCACGCGTGGCTGCGCCTCTCCCCCGCCAGGGCGGGCGGGCCGCACGCGGAGCCCCTGCGCCCCTCCAGTGCCCGGTGTGCCGTGCAGGGCCTCCGGCAGCCCCGAGTGGCAGGCACCACCGCTCGCGGCCGCCACGCTGCGTTGGAACACCTACTCGGGCCGGGCGAAAGGGGGGGGTAGCAAAAGGGGGGTTTGAGAATCAGCTCACGCAGCCGATTTTCCCGGCGCCTCCCTGCGCCGAAGACGGCCATGTATCGAGGAATGGGCCCCTCGGTGGGGCCGAAGCCAGCTGCACGCAGCAGATTTCGTACCCCCCCCTTTCCCAATCCCCCCTTTCGTCCGGCCCGACCTACGCACCTGCAACCGAGTAGCGCGTCCAGAGAACTTCTTCGCGGAACCGCTTTTTCGATTCACTGCGCACGAGCACTGCCATCACACACCGGCTACACGGAGGAGGGGGCATTGCGCCGCAAGGGAGCGGCCCGCGCGCCAAAACGAGCCGCAGCACGAGTTCCAATGACGCGCGCACAGCACATGGAGCGAACCTACCTGGCTCACAAGACCTTTTTCCCCAACCATCCTGTGGTGTTGGGTCCTCGTTGTGAGGACACAGCGCCCCGCGTCCTCACCGATCCGGTGATCACAACTGCAGATGGCCGGGTCCTTTGCCAATGTATGTTTGTTTCTGCCTCCGATGCCTTTTCGCTCCTGCCTCCCGCCCGTTTCCGTCCCGCTTCCTTCCTCCTCGCGTTCCCGCTCAGGGGGTCCCGGCGCAGGGCCCTCCTCCTCCTCCTCCTCCTTCTTCTCCTCCTCCTCCTTCTCACTAGCACGCTTCGTCTTCGCTAGGCTCGTCCGTTGCACAATGTTCGTTCCAGCCTCGACCTATACCCTGCCAGGACAGCCCGTGTGCTGGGCAATACGCAGATGCACATTTGTAGAAGCTGTATCTTGAGATTTGTTCCACACCTGACTATTGAATACAACACAGTGCGAGCCGGCAAAAAACAACATGTATTTCCATGGGCGACGGGCATCTCCACATCTCCATGCCTTCGCGACCTGGATGCCGAGGCGCAGCCTCATGGACACGCATTCCCATGGACACCCCCCCTCGCGCGGGGCATCCGCACAGCGCCGCGCTGCATCGGCGGGGGGGGCGCGGCCGAGAAGCCCACACCGCGAGGCCGCGGACGTGTATAATCGTTCCACCCACGCTCCTCCTCCTCCTCCTCATCCTCGTCCTCCTCCTCCTCGTCCTCCTCCTCCTCCTCCTCCTCCTTCTCCCCCTCTTCCCCCTCCTCCTCCCCCTCTTTCTTTTCATCCTCTTTAGAAGTGCACAGGGTTTGTGGCCCCACCCCAAGGGCATGCCCAAGAAAGTACAGGAGACACTGCTCTGGCGGGGTGCCACCCGTGACATTGCCCGAGCTCATGCGCACGTGCATGCGAGAGTTTGTATAGCAGCTAGCAGTATGGTACGATGTCGTACTCCTCATGCCGATCTCCTGCCGATCTCCTCCTCCTCCTCCTCCTCCTCCTCCTCCTCCTCCTCCTCCTCCTCCGTATCCTGATCCTCCTCCTCCTCCTCCTCCTCCTCCTCCTCCTCCTCCTCCTCCTCCTCTCCACCCCGCTTCTCCCGACTTGCCATGCCACGCATGGGGGAATCGGCTCAGGAGGTGGAACATCGACCTAAAATCTGCGATACATGGCAGAGAGAGATCGGCGACACGCCACCGATAGCGGACCCGCACGGTCCTGAGCGGGGCGGGCCATCGGGCCCCTATCCGCGATCAATCGGCCATTTGGGGTCGATGCAGAACACATCCCTTAACCCCCCCTTGCCTCCTTCCCTTTCCCAATCGTTTCTGGATCCTGCGCTCCTCGCGCGCGCAGCTGGGCGGTCCAGAACCAGGTCTGCAGGCGACCCGTGCCGTTCTCGTGGTGCGGCGCCACGAGCAGCTGCCTGCACAGCACGGCGAGCCCCGCCAGCAGCTGACCCCCGGCCTGGAGGCGTTGGTTTGAGAAGCGCTGAATGCTTTACCGGAAACAAGGGAAGGCAGGACATCTGCTGTCCCCGAGGAACACTAACCGAATCGGGCGATTAGAAAACAAACGAGCTCAGAGAAACACGTGCTCCGCCACTCGCGTCAGGAAGAACTCGGACTGGACACTGGACACCGAGCGCTGAGCGTGTCCGTCCCAGGGGACGGCCCTACGAGGGAATATGCGGTGGCGCCTCGGCGCCAACATATGTACAAGTTACAGCCAAATCGCAATATCCCGAAACAGTATGGTTTCCAATCCGAGCGGGTGAACATGGCGCTTATGACAAATGTCGAAGCTTCACTAGATTGTGCGCCACAGAGGTCCGCGGGCCCACGTCTCGAAACAACAATCGTGACGTCGGATGTCTGAGGAGGGCGGGAGGCAGGGCGCGCATGGCGGATGGTGAAGCGACAAAAATGACGGAAGCGGCGGTGGGGAGGCGGGTGCAGAGGCGCAGCATGCGAGAGGCGGGATGACGAGGATGCAGTTGGGAGGCAAGGGCAAGTAGGCGGGAGGAGGAATGAGAGAGGCTACGAAACTTCTCAAGCAAAACAAACCGGACCATCTCGCGCGCAGCGTCTCGGAAACCCGAGCTGTAAGGATGTCCCAAGCGAAACGGGCTGGACCACCTCGCCAGCGGAATCTCGGAGCTCAGAAATCAAAGGATGTCTCAGGCGGAACGGGCCAGACCACCTCTCGCATGCGTTCCTATCCTGTCCCCTGCTCTTCCCGTCCCCCTCCCTCCTCCTCCCCCTGCCTGCTCCCTCCTCCTCTTCCTGCCCTCAATGTCCTCTTTTTCCTCCTCCTCCTCCTCCTCCTTCTCCTCCACCTCCTCTTCCTCATTCTCTTTCTCCCTCCTCCTCCTCCTCCTCCTCCTCCTCCTCCTCCTCCTCTTCGAAGATTGGGCCGCGCCACCGACAGAGCGAGACCCGACAAAACCAAACACGTCGCGTGCCTCGGGCCCGCCAACCAGGGCACGGCAGCAGGACCGCCCAGGGTTCGAGCTGAGCACCTGACGCCGCTTCTGGAAAAGGATGAATCCATGGACCGACTCGGATTGAATTCGCCGCTGCTGCCATCGCGGGGGCGCGAATGCCTGCCCCGATTTCCCTTGCCTTTGCCCTCTGCAAGATGACGGCGCTCCAGAAACCAGACTACGGAGTAGTTACGGGGCATCGCCGCGGGCGACGTTTTCCGCGGACTGGTCACAAGTGCACTCGCTAAGCACTTCGCCAAGCAACTCGCGGCCGCAACCGCGCCCTTCCTGGCCGGCCTTCTCCCCGTCGCGAAGACGTGGCGCGGGCAAGACTCCGCCTACCTCTGGCAAGGCAACTGTGGAACCGCGCTCGGGAGCAGCGTACGGAGCGCGAGCGGGCGCTTCCAGGACCTTCGGACAAGGGGCCTTCCTGGTCGCTGTTTGTTGGGACGACGTGTAAATCAAGACCGCCCAGGCCAGGGCCAGGGCCGCCTCGACGCCGCCACCAGCGCAATTCACCGCCACGCAAACCTGGATTACCACCTCGGCAAGTGTCGGACCTCCAGGGGCGGAGGCGCGCCGGACTGAGGCAAGCTGGGACAAGACGTCTGGAGGGGCGAAAGGGCGCCACACGACCGAGGGATCAGGATACAGGGTGCCCCGCTAGGCTCCCCAGAATTCGTCGCTGCGCACCTGGAGAGCAAACTACAAGAGGAGAGGACACTCTTGGACGAACTGACGCACCTGCCCGTCCTGCAATGAGCGTGGTTCCCCCCCATTCCCTGCGCTTCCCCACGGGCCAACAATCTACTGCGAACGCTGGTTCCCGAAGAAGTCGCCGAGTACGCAAGAGGCCACGACGACGACATGTGCGCCGCCCTGCGCCGCTTTCTTCGGGTGCCCTGTCGCAGGACCAGGGACCACGGGCGCGCATTGGCGGCAATGCCAGGAAGACACGGGACGGAGGACTCGGGCTCCAAAGCGCTGCGCGCACGTCCCCGGCGGCCTACCGGGGCGCGTGGGCAGACGCCCTCCGCGTGCTCCACCAACGGCGCCCCATTGAAGCTGCAGCGAACAAGGACTTCCTCGACGGCAGCATGCCCAGCCACAGGGGCAACCTCGCCGCGGTTGCCGCGGCCGCTCAGGCGCTCGAGACCGAATGTTTCCAGAGACCTTCCTGGACTGACCTGCTCTGGGGGCTGCGCCCAGACTACCGCCGCGCGCGGAGGCCTCCGAACCAGGGCAGTGGTAGCACGGCTGGCAAATCCATGCTTCTTCCTCACGCAACGCCTACTACAAGGAGCAGCGTCCATGTCCAGCTCATCAAGGCCAATCAAGCCATGCCAGAGCCGCCTACTGCCTGCACGCCCTGCCCACCACCGACGGGCGTGCGTTCAAGGCAGCGCGGTTCCAGGTAGCCCTGTGCTGGCGCCACAGACTCCCACTGGCGATTCTCCCACGCAGCTTCGGCGCCAATGGCCGCCCGGGCTGCCGAGCCCTGCTGGGCCGCTGGGAGATCACCTGGCCGCGTGCTTGCGCGCCGTGCTCTTCGCCAGACGCGCGAATCCGCTCGAACGAGCACGGGCGAGGGTCGCTAGAGAAGCAGGGGGGAGGGGAGTCCCCGAACATCTGCTGTGAGACACCACCGCCGTCGTCCACACCCCACTGATCGCCGACAGCTAGACACGCCCAACGGTGCCCCTCTGTGCTGCGACAGCACCACGGCGTCCCCACTCCATAGGGTCGGCTGGCACCGGCCGCACACTTTCGACACCGACGACGCCGCGCTACGAGTGGCCAACCGGCGCAAGTGGCAAAGGTATCGCGAGCTCAAGACCGGCCAACCAGGTCGCCTCATGATCCTTCCTCTCCTGCGAAGTCAGGGGCCGGTGGGGGCGCGATTCCCCAGCTGGTGCGCATGCTTGCAGAAAGCAGCAGGCACGAGCCGCACCTCCTCAACCGCTCTGCAAAGCTTGCATACACCAGCTGCTGGTGGGTTCCTGGGTGTCGGTGCCGAGGGCGCGCTCATGGCAACCCTGACGGGGGGGCACTGGCCGCCCGGGTTGCCGAGCCCCGCTGGGCCGAAACCACCTGGCCGCGTGCCTGCGCGCCGTGCTCTTTGCCAGACGCGCGAAGCCGCTCGAACGAGCACGGGCGAGGGCCGCCAGAGAAGCAGGAGGTAGGGGAGTCCCCGAACATCTGCTGTGAGACACCAATGTCGTCGTCGACAACCCACTGATCGCCGACAGCTAGACACGCCCAACGGTGTCCCTCTGTGCTGCGACAGCACCATGGTGTCCCCACTCCATAGGGTCGGCTGGCACCGGCCGCACTCTTTCGACACCGACGACGCCGCGCTACGAGTGGCCAGCCGGCGCAAGTGGCACAGGTATCGCGAGCTCAAGACCGGCCAACCAGGTCGCCTCATGGTCCTTCCTCTCCTGCAAAGTCGGGGGCCGGTGGGGGCGCGATTCCCAGCTGGTGCACATGCTTGCAGAAAGCAGCAGGCACGAGCAGTACCCGCCCTCCCCAACCGCTCTGCAAAGCTTTCATACACCGTGTGCACCAACTGCTGGTGTGGGTTCCTGGGCGTCGGTGCCCAGGACGCGCCCATGGCAACCCTGACGGGCAAAGGCTTCCTGTCCTTCGGGGGGGACGCCGGGGAGGACGACGCGGACCTGGGCGAAGCGTTGCTCTCAGACAACGCCGGCCCGGCCCGCCTGCTAGCCGCTTGCTAGCACGCCCTATGCTCGACAGCGCGCCACGAGCTACACTGCAGCGAACACCGCGACGACCGGCAGCACCACGAGCAGCACCGCAGGCGCCACGAGCAACCCCACAACTAATACCACGACGGCGACGGGCACCACCACGAGCAGCACCGCAAGCACCACGAGCCGCACCGTGGCACGCACCGTGGCACGCACCGCGACGACGACCCGCTTCACCGCAAACAGCGCCGCAAGCGCCGCGAGCTCCACCACAGCTACCACCACAACAGCGACCAGCAGCACTGAGAGCCTCTGAAAGCGACGCCGCAGATGCCACGAGCCCTACAACGCCACGACGGCGACCGGCAGCAACACCAGCAGCGCCGCGAGAAGAGCCACGGCCACGGGCGCCGCAAGCCACACAACGGCTACCACCACGAATGCGCCCAGACGGCGACTGGCAGCACTGCAAGCAGCACCGCCGGCGCCACAAGCAGCACCACAGCGAGCACCACGACTGCAACCGGCCGCGCCAAGAGCAGCGCCGCAGGCGCCATCAACTTTACCGTAGCTGCCACAACGACGGCGACCCCGATGGCGACCAGAAGCACCACGAGCAGCGCCACAGACGCGACGAGTCGCACCAGTTGAGCAGGGACCGACCGTCCCGGCAATCGTACTGTCATACCACGCCCAAAAAAAATAAGAGCGGAGACAATATTCTTAGAACATAAACCCGATGGGATTAAACAAGACAGTCTCCGCCGGAAAGGTTCTAAGAACATTTCGTGGGAACCTCAAAAGGTTCTTCGAACATTGTTTGGTGGGGCTAGAGGCTAGCTGGGACGCTTCGCCACTGCGTGGACCAGAGCTACGACCACGACCAGTACCGCAGGCGCCACGAGCAGCACCACGACACCGACCAGCAGCACCACTACCCTCACGACCAGAAGCAAAACGACAGCGATCAGCAGCACCAGGACTGCCACCACCACCACCACCACCACCACCACCACGACTGCGAACAGCAGCAGAACCACCACCACCACCACCACGACTACGACCCGCAGCACCACCACGACCACCACCAGCAGCACCACGACTGCGACCAGCAGCACCACCACCACGACGGCGACCACGAGGACCACCGCCACGATAGTTTTCAGGAGCCCCCTGTCCTGGCCGAGTCCACGGCTGCGGCCAGCAGGTCAACGCCAAGACTGCGACCCGCAGCACCACCAGCAGCACCACCACCAGGACAGCGACCAGCA